TGGCTTTACTTTTTATACCTCATTTTTATACTTTTCTGCTGGATGGTTAAGACCAAGATAAAGCAAGACCTATATAACAAGAAATTTAACTTTTGTATCATTCAAATCCCCTCAGGATTTATCCTGAAACCCTGTACTGCAGTTTGTAGATCCTTTATCAGTGTCAGCCTTATGGATAAATCATGGCCATTGCCTGACCAATTTGCTCTGTGAAAGCCTGAGAGAAAGTTTTCTCTCCATGTGACTCTCCTTAGGCACACTCTACATGTCGATCACTTTCCTCTTTGGCCCCATAATCTCCTTGATCAGAAAATTTGGGACACAACTGAGTTACAGGATGTTATGGTACAGGTTCTCCTATGTCCTGAGTCCTCACTGACCTTGAAAGGCTAGGGCCAAAATGTTGGCTGTCCTTGCAGCCCTTCTTTTTCTCTAATTTTTGGTTTGCAAACTTAGGTTGTTAACCCTCCAGAAGAGAAGCTTATTGTTATTGCTATATAACCTACACTGCTGAGCTTAACCTCACTATCTGTCTGAATATCAAACATCTTAGACATAGCATGAAACCGGTATTTTCCATCAAGTATTGATATGTTAAGCTTTAAATCCCTACTGTCATTGAATAATTTTAAAAACTGACTTCAGACTACAAGTTCCTACTATCTGGGAACTAGACCTTGGGACAGATGCCTTGTTAGTAACTGCCAAAGAAAGTTGGATGCTGAAATTATTAGAAATCTTAGTTACTAGATGAGGTATATTAAGGATGACAAGTAGGTCAATTAGAATACCTGTGATTTACAGAAATGATGAAGCTTAGGTGTTGGATCCTGTTACCAGGGTGTGTCTCCATATAAAACTCAATAGTTTGAGTTGTCATCTCAAATGAAACTGTAAAAGAGATGAATGTATGTTTCTGCATTCTCATAAAATTCTCATGTTTGTAAGAATATTTTAAGTTCAAAATAATTTCTGGTTAAGGAGGAGGGTTTTAGGTGTTTAATCAATGGCATTACTGCCATCGTCTTTTCCTATTAATAATTAACACAATATTTACTGTGTGGGAGACATGCCCATGACTACTTAGTAACTATGAGTCCTTTACAGGTGCAGGAATGGGCATAAGCTAAGAGAGATGGTTTGGCAGAGCTGAGAGTAGGAGTTCATCTTAGGGGAAGTGTGCCTGGGAAAGTCATAGAGTAGTGGCAAAGAACAAGTGATATGAAAGAAATGGAAAAGGTACAGAGGAGATTCAGGGGACAAAAAAGTACTTCTAATCTTTTACTCCAATCCTCTACCACTAGGAAAAGACTTCTTGAGTGTTGACTGCAGAACTCTATAATTATATGTAATAATTTATTGACACCTGTTGAGGATGGGAGGGGGTCAGGGTGGTATTACATTTGTACTTAAAAGAATGATCATAATTGAAAGGAGAATTGTCATTGTGATAATTATGATCTTCGTGAAGTATTCCCACCGTATCCTCCTAGGGATGTCTGTTGTTTTTTGGAATTCTTTGACCTAAAATAAAAACACAGAAAAATGTAATGTTTTCTTTCCATTCAGGACTAATGGGCATACTGTCATATTTGGAAGAACTATCCAAATTGAGAGATTTAGTTTGATTTTGACCAATTCAGAAAATATCTTTAAAGACTAAACAGCTTTTCTAAAGAGAGGCACCAAGGATCCAGGTGCCTGTGTTCAACTGCACTTTTGTTACTTTTGTGATTTTGAACAAGTTACTAATTCTTTGAGTACCAGTTGCCTCATCTTCATTTTCTTCTGATTTTACATAAAGACCACCATTGCTTAAAATTCCTCTTAAAATTGCCATCTTGTTTTTATTCTAAACATACTGCCTCTTTCAGATCTTTATATTCTAGATAAATAATAAAATTCACATAATGTTAGATAAGAAATATATACTGTGCAGAAAAATAAGCTTTATGTGAAAAAATTTCCAGCATGGGACAGTGCCTGGCACAGCAGATATCCAGTGATAAAAGATTGATGAGTGGATAGATAAGCAAATCTATAAAATGAGGCAAAGAGGTCCTCCATGCCATGCTGCAGACTGTGAGGACCAACTGAGGCTATGAGCAGGGTGCATGGGAGCCACCAGAGAGCCTGGCTTTTGGTGCATTGATTGGGTAATGAGATAATGAACTTTTTAAAAGTGTTTCCTGATATAAAAAAGTTTTCCATCTTAACCTACATAACTAAAATAGTTCACTTTTGTTAACATTCAAAAAAATGTTAAAATAATTCAGAAAGCATTGGGAGAAGTCAGAAAACAAGACCAAGCAAAATTGTAGATCCTTTATATTAAAAATCTATTCCCTATTGTTTTTCTGCTTGCTTCCCATATGGCTATGATATTCAATCAATTGTTTCTCATATGGACTTTTACTGTTTGTCACCTGGAGAAAAAAATGGAAAGTGTTTGAAATATTTCAGTTACCTTTCTTCATTTATCAGATCAGCTTATTTCAGTTTATGTGATGAGCAAAGTCATGTTCATGGTTAGGGTGCACCAGTTCAGAGATGGCCTTGAATGTATGATGAGTTATAGGAGCCCAGGTTAATATACCCCAAGCCCAGTCAGTGATTCCCAAGGATCTGGCACATGGAAACAAGGTGCCTAGGGTACTTTTTAGGGATGTTAGAATTTACTGAGTTCTTCAGATGCAGGTGCTATATAAAAAGCATGTATCTTTGTATAATAACATGTATGACTCATAATCTTACAGATATTAATGTTGAAAAAAATGGGGCTCAGAGAGGGTTAAATTACTTGTGTAAGGTTATGTAGCTAGCTGTGGTGCTACAAATCAAATCTAGAATTGTCTAATTGTGCACTGCTTGGTTAGAATATTTTAAGGCATAACTTGTCTTTGTCTTCTCTTAGGTGATTTGCTTTTTTAAATAATACATATATAGTTTGAAGAGTTAGCATGCAGAAAGACTTATGAATAAGAAACGCTTACTCCTTCCTGCCCTGAACATGTTTCTCAGAGTTAACAAATTCGAGGTTTTTGTTCACTGGGTCTGTTGTGTCTGTTGCTGAGTCCTTATTACTTGGAAGAGTGGTTCACAACTAGGAGTCTCTTTTTGCCCTTCAGCAGACATAGGCACTATTTGGAGTTTTTGATTGTCACAACTATATAGGGAGTGCTACCAGTGCTGGAGTGAAGAGATGCTAAAGATGCTGCTAAAAATCCTCCAGTATGCAGGGGAGCCGCCCACAACAAATATCCTATGCAAGAAATTCTGAGGCCCAGACATGACCTAGAACCTCTGCCATACAGTGGGCGTTATGGCTTAACCCAGATCTCCATGTGTTCATAGGTAGGGCTTTGAAGGACTTTGGATCACAGGGTGCTATCTCATCAGGGGCCTGTGGCTGAATGGCTGCTGCGGTGGGCCTGGTTAGAAGGGGTGAGTCACTGGAAGGGTGTGCTGTCCATAGCTCTTCCCTCCTCTCCTTGCTTTCTGCTTGCCTCGAGGTGCGCAGCTGTCCTCTGCCCTGCCCCTCAACAATGCTGCCCTTCGAGAAGTCTGTGGATCACAGACTGACACTGTGAGCCAAAATAACCCTCTCCTTTCAGTTGTGTGATCAGGTCCCAGTGGCCAGAAAGAAGCTTGCAAGGAGCTCTGTAGATTCTTGAGTGAATCTCGTTTAGCTGTTTACTTTCTTGTGGAGTTTGTGTTCCTTTGCATTTCTAGGACACATATATTTCTTGATTTTCCTATTTCCAACCATAGAAAATAATTTATCTCATAGTCCTCCGAGCTTCCTTTTCCAAACTCATACCATTCCCTTCTTTTCTAATCTATCTATCTGTCTGTCTGTCTGTCTTTCTTTCTTTTTCATTTATATATTTGGTACAAGATCTCACTATGCAGCTTGCACTCATAGTGATCCTCTTGTTTCCAGCTTTCCCAACTCTGGGATTACAAGTGTGTGCCACCACACCCCAACTCTTTGGCCAACTCAGGGCACCCAGGGATTGAACCCTGATCCCTGTGCTTGTCAAAGCAGGTGCTAAGTCCATTGAGCTATCTTGCCAGTCCCTACTTTGCATTTATTGCCCAGAATTGCCTTTACTATTCTAGGTCTCTTCTGGTTCCAAATGAATCTTAAGATTATTTTCCTTAATTTTGTGAGTTATACAATTGGACTTTTGATTGGAATTGCATTAAATCTGTATAACCATTTTGGAAGTATGGCCATTTTCACTATTTGGTACTTTCAACCTAAGAACCTAAGAAATATTGTTCCATTTTATGACATCATCTCCCACCTCCTTTTTCAGAGTCCTGTAGTTTTCAGTGTTGAAGTCTTACTTTTTTTGGTTAGATTGATTCCTAGATATTTCATTTTTTCACCAATACTATTGTAAAAGGTATTGTTTTTCTAATTTGTCTCTCAAAGTTTATTATTCATGTATAGGAAGGCTATTGATTTCTTTTCTTTTCTTTTTTTTTTTTTTTTTTTTCCTGAACGCGGGATTGAACTCAAGCTCTTGCACTTGCCAGGCAAGTGCTTAATCTACTGAGCTATGTCCCCAGCCCCAAGGTTATTGATTTCTGAGTGTTGATA